CTCAAGGCCCGGGGGCCAAATCCGGCCCGCGACTTCATTTTCTGTGGCCCCACAAGAGCTTGCAAAGAATATAATATATTTGTTATACGGTTACATGGCGATTTACAGAAGCACGTTGCGCATACATGGAGGACAATGCATCTCAAATGTGACTTTTTTTCTCAGATTAGAATTTTTTTTCTTCTAAATATGCCTTTTTTGACTTTTCTCAGAACTTTTTTTTCAAAATGTCACCTTTTTTTAAAATGTTGCTTTTCTTTTAAAATCCTTTGGTGACATTCTCACTGAAGAGACTTGCAATTATTTGCTCTAGACATCTGCTTTCAGTCGTAGTTAATTATGAAGTTATTACCCTATCCGATAATAATCCAATGCAGAGGCAATAATATAATATAATACATTATTTTATATATATTAAATATTTATATATGTATTTTTATATAGTCTTAAAGTTACAACCGGCCCTTTGAGTTCAACCATAATGCGAATGTGGCCCGTTATGAAATTGTGTTTGACCCCCCTGGTCTAGTGCAAACAAATCAAACCAAATAATGTACATTTGTGCAAGACTGTCCATGGCAGCGTAATCCAGCACCAGACACTTTTTAAACTGCTAGGACAGTCTAGCACTAATGTACATTCTCAAAGATATTGAAGTTACTGTTATTTTTATATCTATTGATTGTTGTGCTTTTATTCAGGTCTTAATGTGTGCATATGTATAAATGTGTCTGTTGATTGTGTATATATATATATTTGTTTTTGTATTCTGGATTGTGGGAAACTGTATTTCGATCTCTCTGTCTGTTCACACAAACTGAAAGGTTGACATTAAAGTTGGCTTTGACTTGACTTGACTATGTTCAGCCTGAAAAATATATTTATATTTTTAGGTAAACAGCAATAAATGTTGTTGTCTTGCTGGCTTCTAGATACCTAGAAAGAACTGAATCCTATAGGCTATAAGAAACACTGAAACAGAAGATAAAAAGTGTGAAATCATATTTTCAAAAATCATATTTTCACCTGGAACTAGTGCTGGTTGCAGGCCAAGGAAAACACCTGAATTCTCTACACTTTTACTACTTACACTTTTTTACTTTGCTAAATCCTTCAAATAATGGACTTCAGATTTTTTAAATTCAAAATCCTCGAGCCTCTCTGTGTACCTGGATGTCTTGGATGCGCTCTTTGATCTTGTCCGCTCCGAAGTGGTCGTTGGCCACCAGCTCCTCGCCCCCCCGGATGGTCTGCTGCAGGTGGGCCGCGCGCCCGCTCATCTCGTCCTCGAAGGCTTTGTGCTGACTCAGCAGACGCCGCGCTCCCGTCAGATCCTTCCCATAATCCTCGGAGGAGAGGATCTGCTCCTTCTCCCTGATCCATCCCTCCTGCAGGACGCACGCAGTCAGGACGCAGTTAGAGCAAATCACTTTTAAATCGACTATTCCGTCTAATCCACAAATCCATATATCCACAAGTAGCAATAAGCTGACTAAAGTTTGGTCGAGTCTTTACTCAAACAAACGGTATCAACACATTTTCAAAGGTCAAAAAACGATATTGCTCCGTGATTCTTTTCTCCTCCTCTTCCAATTACCAGCAGCTGCAGTCGGCTACAGTATGACGTACATTTTACGACAGCTGGTTTAAATAAATGATATAATAATACTAATATCAAAGGATTACAATGTTCAAATATATCTATATACTAGGGGTGGGAATGATTAATCGACTATTCGAATATGAGTTTTGAATATTTTTATTGTATTGTAATTATCATTTTATTTCTTTTGGGAGGGGTGCTGGAGAAGTTGATTGCATATTATCAAATGGATTAATTAAATGTATACGACAGCGCCATTTTAAATAAGAAAAATATCAAAGAAAACTTGGTTTGGTTTCTATATTTATTTGAAAATGTATTATTCAAACTTTTTATGTATTTTTTTTTTTGAAACTTTTTTATAAACAGCCAGACAGACAGCACAATAGCAGTTGGCAAACAAATTAGGATGACAAAAATGTGATTCGAGTCCAACAGGATAAAAAACAAAGACAAAACAAAAAATAAATGAAACAAAAAAAAAATGGACTGCGACAGGACAAAAATCAACAACAACAAAAAAAAAAATGTATTTTCTTTTTTAACCGTTTTTTGGGGGTCGAATATTCGAATATTAATGTGCTTTCAAATTCCCATCCCTACTATATACACGCATAATATATCAAATGATATATTTTAACATATGGATCCTACAACTATCAATACGTATATATTAAAAGTTACACTAACCTCTTCGGCCATCTCCCAGAAGAACTTCCAGAGGCGGCGCGACTCGTCGAGCCGGGCCCTCCGCTCCGACGCCAGCTGAGTCAGCTCCTGGTAGCAGAAGTCCATGTGAGCCACTCGGTCCCTGATGATCTGAGGGTCGCACGGCTTATAGCCTGAGGGGGGAGGAAGAGGAGGAGGAGGAGGAAGACGAGGAGGAGGAAGAGGTGGAGGACAAGGAGGAGAAAGAACAAAGGTAGAGGAGGGACACGAGGAAAAGGGGAAAGGAAAAGGGAACAAGGCGAGGAAGAAGAATGGGACAAACAGAGAGGGCGATAAAGAGGATTTGGAGAAAGAAAAATAAGTAGGAAGAGGAGAAGGAGGAGATTGAGGATTAGAATAACTTTAAAGTGAACGTATTTATATCTGAGCAAACAAGAACGGAGAGATTCATTAAGGAGAGAATAACATACTAAAATGTCTCTCTGAATTCAATTCAATGTGCTTTCTTGAATGTCAGGTGAACAATATTTCCAAAGCGTCAAAGACAATACAATTCAAGAGTGAAATGATAAGAAAAAAAACAATACAATTCATTCATTAAACAATTTACAACAATATATTATTACAAAACCGCAAGTATCAAATCTAAAAAGAAACAAAACAAAGATCTCTCTCTCTCGTCACAAAAAAGTAACAATTAAAGATGTTTGGAGTTTTATTTGAGTTCTTAATTTACATTTTTTGTCTAAGAGATGCTGACTTGAAACCGTTGTTACATAAAGTTACGGCATTTCCTGTTTCTGCCGGAGAGAGGGGAGGCCGTCCCAAAGCTTGCTGCCGTATTTACTCCCTCCATCTGACAGGAGGGAGCCTCGTGTGTCACTCACTACATCACGGAGGGGGAGTGTGTATGGTCTGTCTGTGTGTGTGTGTCTGTCTGTCTGTCTGTCTGTGTGTGTCTGTCTGTCTGTCTCACTCGCTCTCTGCGTGTCTCACTCTCTCACTCTCTCTCTCTCTGTGTCTCTCTCTCTCTCTCACCCTCCATGTCGTCGGCGAACTTCTGCGCGTTGCGGTTGACGGTCTTCACGCGGTCGGCCTGGATGGAGATGTCGGCCTCCACGAGAGCGTGTTTCTGCAGCAGGTCCTCCACCCCCAGGAGGTGCTTCCCGTAGTCCTGGGAGAGGAGCAGCATCTGCAGGGGGGGGGGGTCAACACAAGATACATT